GTTTATTATTTGTATGTCCCCTTTCATCTGTAAATCCATTTTAGCATCTTTTTCCATTTTCAGATCCACAACATCTTTTTCCAAATCACCTTTATAACCCAGCATCTTTTAAAACTCCAAATCTACATTCAAATCAGCCTCAGTCTCTGTTTTCACCAATTAAATCTGTTGTTATTCTATATCTTTCTATTAAAGCGTCAGACAGTCTTTTCAGTAATTTCTGGGTACACTGCTCCAAAACTGTCTTAAACTCTTCTATAGGCAAATAGTATTGCTCTATTGTATTAATGGGTTTCTTCCCCTTTAAATATAATTGGTTGTTCTCTCTGGTTCCCTCAGTCAAGTCCCCAAGAGATTAAATTATCATCTGTTTATTTTCCAGACAAGAAAACTTTCCCACAGGAGGATTTTTTTACAATTAATTTCAAAATCTTCATATATTGTTTATTAATTTTTAAACACCCCACAGGAAATATTCTTTTGAGTCCATCTAGCCTTAACTTTTCAAATCCTTTTGCTGTTCAAAAAGTAAACCTTTTCTTTTTAATCCTTAGATTTACATGTAGCTTCTTTCATCCAAGGTAGAAGGAGATTCTCCCAATGTAATAAAACTTGCCCTTCAGAAGGTTCTTAACTTCTAAGTAATCCATAAAAAGCAACTTCCTAAAGTAACGATGAGAGGAGGAAGGCAGACCCAGCGTCCCTTTGAAAGATGCCAAATTGTGGCTTGGGCAGGATGTCTTTCCCTCAGCTCCCAGAACTCTCAAACCCGCTGGAGATTGCTATTTTGCAATCTCTTCGTAGGGAGATTCTGTATGGAGTAGACTTGTGGGCAATCCTTGTCTTCCCCTTTAACCAGAGAGGGGTTCCAAGGAGCCAATCCCTTCACCGACGCCTCTTTTTGACAGGGTTGTCAGCTCCACAAAAGTGGAGCCGTCTTCAGTCTGCCATTACTGTCCCTGAAGCCAGTGTCATCTTTTTCTTGTGTGAACTTCAGTGATATAAAAACTCTGAAAATCATTCCTCCTCTTGGTGAACTTACAAAAGACATCTTGGAACTAGGAAAAATAGAATGATGGAGTAGACATGCCCTTGGCTTAATCCAGAACAGCTTATTTCATATAAAAAGTCAGTTACGTTTTAAAAGTTGGACAGGAGATCCATGTATTATTAGACGCTTCCAAGCAAGCTTCAACTGATTTTTATGTTGCTTCAAAATCTTACCAGTATTGTGCAACATATACCAACATATACTTCCTAATATGTAACCTAGTATGCTAATCATATGTCTTCAGTCTAAAAACAAAGCTCAAAGAACTCCAATAATGCAATATATTTTTCTGATGTTCAGTTACCTGTTAGGTAAACAAATTACTTCCCTTCTGCCTTGTAAACCTGGATTCTTATTCCTAATCCAACATTCTTCTATTATGATCAATTGCAAACAAAATTGCATATATAGATAGTGTTAATTTCATGTTATTAAGAGAAATAACTTGCAATTTCGTTAGATATACTGTAGGTTTCATGGTAAAATAATCTAAAGGGAGAAAACTGGCATGGGAAGAATAAGCAACATATTTTAGCATGGAAGTCTACCTGCAAAACTCAGGCTTTTGTTCACTAGTAAGTGCTGGAGTGTGACATCTAAAAGCCTGTACCCTTTCTTATTTTTCAAGTCCAGATTACTCAATGAATACCTCATTTGTTTGTTTGTTTGTTTATTTTTAAAGAAAAGCTGAACTTTGTCGAATAGTATTCCAAAATGATGATGACATTAAAAGAGAGATTCAGAGGCTCAACAGCTGTTCCAAAAGAGCAATAATGTTCTAAATGTTTATCTAAATAATTTAGCAGCTGGAGACAAGCAAATAGCTGGTCTGGGAGCTGTTATTAGATCATTTCAGTTTTGGAAAAGATGCTAATGGGAGGTAAATGGCACTTCATACATTTAACAGGAATCTATCTGGACCACTATTTGGGTAGGGGGAGAAAAGAATTTGAATGGGCAACCTGAGAATAGTAACAGTTAAATTGTACTGATGCTTTTCTGAGGGAATTGACAGTGTAGAAAGAAGGAAGCACTATTTGGATCTACAAGCATCCTATAGATCTCAATGAGGGCATAAACCTGTTGCTTTTGTTCCTAGTATAATTAGTGAATATCAGAATGGTTACAGAATGACAGGCTTCTTGCCTTCCTAATAAGTATGTTCTAATTTCTGGCTATTGTACTATTACTGTGCTGTCATAATTGGTCCTTGACAATGGGAATAATCTAATTATAGAAGTCACAGGATGGACAACTTGCACCTCTGAACACTCTCTGAGATCAATGTTGATTCCAACAATGGTTCCACCACTTTTGACGTGTCATTAAGGCAGTGTTGTCCAAAGTTGGCCACTTTAAGATGAGTGGACTTCAACTCCCAGAATTAGTGGCCAACTTTGGACAACACTGCATTAAGAGCAGCTGTACAATTAGTTTGCTCTGTATCAACTCTTTCAAGCAGTAACTTCACAGAAAAGTTGGGCTATTACATCATTTCCTGGACTTCTACCCCTTTTTTCTCAGCCGTGCTCTTGCTATCCAATATATTTTGAGAAAGTTGTCACATTTTTACTGCCAACCTATAGTATGCATTGAAATCTCCCTTTTCTACCATTCAAATGCTATGCATCATTTTCATTCATTATTCAAGATGGCTTTCATGAAAAAAATGTTCATTCTTTGTGTGTGTGTGTATGCATGTGTGTGCATGTGCGCATGTATGTATATAACTCAACATCAACAAAACTGCAACAAAATCTGTGCTCTTTTTAAATCAAATGGATCTACTGAATATCCAAATGGTACCCTGCTTCAGTAATATATGTGTAATCATTTCACTATTTATATATAACCAACTAAATATGATTAAAGAAGGATTTTTCCCTTATTTTGGCTCTCCCATTAATGGTTCAGTCAGCAAAGAGATGCATATATAAAAGATTTTAGGTTTATATAATCAGACATTAACTATACAACCCATTTTAGAAATATTTCTATGTTCTATATACTATCTAGGTGAACCTGGAACAAAATAAGAGTATAATGACATTGTGTATACTTTTTTAACAGGCAAATCTGAAAATTATTACACTAGCATCCACAGAATTAAATATATAAAAACTGATAATCAGAAACACAATTGAAACTCTAGAGTTTGGGACGTAAGCCCATTGGCTTCTCATTTTGATTATTGAATCTGGCAACTAGCTATCCTTCCTGTTCTGTGGGCTGGAGAAAAGCAAAAACAATTGAGATATAATGTGTGGTTTCTTCTATGTTAATTGAGAGAAGTTTCCTTCATGTGGCTACTATTCAAGTTTTTAAACAAATTCCAGAAACTGGTCACATGATTAAGCAACATCAACCAATTAAAACAAGCTTGGAAATAGTTTTACAGAGCAAGTTACTTGACATAGCTAACAGAATGGATAAAAAACCCTGAACAGCAGAACATTAACACTGGGAGGCGCTGGTCTAGCTAATTGGCTTCATAGATACTTATGGTACAGGGATACAAAAGAGGACAAAAAATTAAAAGGACATATAAGACAAAGTTTGATAAAAGTCTAGAAACTTATGAGAAAAATAAAAACTGCAGTAATCTCACAGTAAGCCTCTCCTTTAATGCTTTTCATATTGGAGATAACTACAGTAAGAAAAGTGCAATTACATATGCAGATATGGTCCATTCAGACCCCATGAATAAACCAAAAACACATCAAGAACTATTTAGCAAAGGTTGGAACGTACTATAGTTGACATACCTACAAATTGCTGGAAGAATAAAAACTGACCTCAAAAATGAGGTCAGAATTTGAAATGCTCATACAGAATCAAAACTACCTACAAGACATATATTGAAACTGTAACTCAGATATGGCACAGGGAGAGAACAAATTTAAAATTGCATGATAAAATGGATGCAAAACTAAAAAAACAGACATAACACAACAATGGGAAGAATTATGGGACAAATATATAAAATTTAGACCATGTTATACCTTAAGAGAAAACTGGTATAAAATGTTTTATAGATGGTATATAACTCTGTCAATAATTACCAAGATAGTCAAATCATTTAGTAATAAATGCTACAAATACCATGAGACAAAAATAACATTTTACCATATGTGGTAGACATGTAAAATAACTCAAAAGTACTGTAAATAATACACAGTGTTATTCAGATAATGTTAGAAATCATATTTGAAATGAAACCACTATTCTTCTTACTAGGCATAATTCTTAAACATATTAACAAAAATCCATACTTTACTAAGATACATGTTCACAGACACAAAGATAAACCTAGTACAACATTGGAAAAGGGATATGTTACCAATGATATCAGACTGGGAACTTAAACTTGGAGAATATGTAGTAATGGCAAAATTAACAGCATATATTTTACAACTGAAGTTCAATGAAATTAAACAAGAATGGCTTTCATATATACAAGGCAAATATAGACTATGGTTTTTAAGGGGAAAAAGAACTCTTTAAAGAACTGAAATGAGAAACCACAACAAGTTTAAATGTTTATAAATATTGTACATCAGTCAGAATACAATAGGGCAGTTAGGAAATTAAGATTTGTTTATATTGTTTTTAGTAGCCTGCCTGCCTGCCTGCCCTTCCCTCCCCGCTCCATCCCTTTTCTTTCTTTCCTTCTTTCCTTCCCTCTCTCTCTCTCTCTCTCTCACACACACACACAAATAGTGGAAATTTGGGGATTCAGCTCAGAGATTCAAATCTTTTTCATACTGTTAAAATAAGCTAAAGCACTTTGTTTTTCATTGTTGATTTCTCATTAAAGATATACTGAACACTAACTGTACAATCTTGGTAATTCTTTTATCTACTTCCTGATGTTATATTTTTGTATCAACTATTTTCCCTTTTTTTCCTTTTCTCCTTTCACTTGCCTGTTCACTGTTTTTTCTTTATTTCTTTTAAAATTAATAATAAATATTTTTTTTAAACTCTTTTTAAACTCATCTTTTTAAGTGGGAGAACTTGCACAATTGGTGGCTGACTAAATACCTTTTTGCCCCACCGTACTTAAAATTACTTAAAATTTTACTTTTACTTAAAATTAAGGAATGGCTATATCACCGTTCCTTTCCCTACTTCCTGTCTACCCTATGTCAATTTATTTCTGGAAGCAATTTATTTCAGGTTATAGTTTCAGTGATGGGAGACAGATCCCAGGATTGTGCTAGACTTTCAACAAAGTTGAACACTTGATCCATGATAAGTGTTTCTGTCCTACAGATACTTTGTATACCTTAAATCACCAATTATTTCCTTACAAGAAGGAATCCCAATTATAAGAAATACATATTATAATACCATATATAATCAAGGCTATAGACCTCTCTCATATAAAGGGATGGAGAATTGGGCTATACATGAAGGCCTCTATCCCATTTGTGGAAATACTGACAGCAAAACTGAGTGACCAGCACTTTTTCTGGCAATAGTGAGCACTTAAAAGATTTATTCTAAGGGGTTCAGTGAAGTGGAACAGAGGTGGCACTGAATCTGCTGTATCCAAGCCTCTTTTGTTGACCGGAAAAGCTTCATAATCTCTCCCTTATGGTTAATTGTACTAGAGTAAGTACTAGGGATACAAACAAATGAACTGAATTCTACAGGACAAATATACACCTCCTGCTTTTTTCTTGCTCAAATCAGCATATCAGGACATTCTAAATAGTAAATTTTAACTATTTAGATTATTCATGCAGAACCCTGGTAAAAACTGAATTGTAAAAATTGTATTTACTGGTTAGGATGTTACTGGTTAAGATGTTAAGGTATATGTAATATTCCTTGCAACTTTATCCAAACACCTTCTCTGTGTATTAGATTAGTAAATAGTCCAAATCACACCATGAACATGATGGATAAGTAGGGGTACACTGAAAAAGAGAAACCCTCCAGTTATCAATCATCTCCTAACAACTTGATGGGCCATTCTGAAGACAATCTTTGAACATAAACTTATCACATCAGCAAGTTCATGTAGGTGGGCATAACTGGAATCATGGAAGCATATTTTACAGATTCGTAAATATGGCTGATGTGGGAGTTATGGTTACTTGCAATGTGCCCATTTAGCAGAAAGCAAATTATCCTTTTCTCATATTTATATATCTATATGTGTATGTGTATAGTTCAGGCACATATACAAATTTCCAAACACAATACTGGATTGTGACTTCCCTCTTGTTGTTATTTTAGTAATAACATATATGAAGCTTACAAACATTCCTAGAAACAACTATAATGCTAGAGGTATACTTTGAAGCATGCAGGATTCCCTTTTTAAAAATTTTAAGCAACTTAACCTTAAAGAAATGCAAATAAACATGTCAGGAAGAGAAACTGGGCAAGTGCCATTTTGGGGATCCCAGCTTTAATACACTCTAGGGTTTTAAAGGTAAAAACAAATACAGATTTGTAATGAGCAACAGAGTCAATGCCATCTTCCTATGGGCTGCAAAATAGGAACTTGTACATTCTCGCACTGAAGCTAGAAGGCTTATTGTCAATTACCAGCCCCTTTTAGGAGCCTAGCAACTACAGTATATTTTGAATTAACTTCAAAGCTATCACACAATACATTAAAGTAATCAATCCTGATTTTCAAAAACTGCTGTAGATGTCATATCCAAAACACTGGAGCAATTACTTAAAATGGATTTAAGCCTCTTCTAGCTCTTAAAATCAAATTTCTTTTCTTTCATTGTAGAATTTATTGGATTCTGATTAATTAGTTATTACAATAATATATGATATTATAGCATTTAAAAGTTGTGACTGGAATTATCAAGAAACATACCTGTGCTTAACAGCAACAAAACTTTCATAATAGTGTATTCTTCAAAGCTAAGCTGCAAACGAACAAATTGAAGGCTGATCTGGTGCATTCCTTGGCATAATTCAAACATTGCAGACTGCCGCATCCTTTCTCTGTAAAAGGCAAGATACAGATAAGAATAAAGATATGCTGAAACTTTTAAATGTGTTGTTATTTAATGTTTTGTATTGAATTTTGATATACTGTTTGCTGCCTAGAGTCGCTATAGTGAGATGGGCGACCATATACATCAAATTAATCATTTCTTCTTATAATTATGATAATAAAATAATTTATGTTGTTATTAGACAAAGGGGATAGCCTTTTCCTCAAGGAACATTATCATCTCATTAATAACTGTTTACAGACTACACTCAGAGTTTGGTTAACATCATAAAACACTGACTGAAGTATGACCCAGTCAAAATTAACCCCTCATAAGTGTCAATGGATTCTCTTTAGAGTGAAGCATGCAAAAGCTTTTCCCATGAAGGTTGCTAATATCTGTCCTTTGACAGGTTGCCTGATTGACTCAACCAACATTTTGGATGAAGATGCTCTTTTCAATCCACTTCAGTCCAGATTTAGGCCCAGTTTTGGAATAGCAAATGCTTTGGGTACTCTGCGAGAAAACTTTCATCAAGAAAAGAGAGTAGAATCATTTGGATCTCTTTGTGTTGGAGATAAAGGAATTATTCTACACTGGTTCTATTCAAATTTGATTTCTCATTGGTTGGTTTAGGAGGATTACACCTATTTTTAGGGAGATCCAAGAACTACAGTATGGGATTCATCAAGATTTTTATTCCTACTTAATATTTTCTTGAAACCACTATAAACAGTTTTAGGTGGATGTAGGCTGAGATTAGTATACTGATAACACCCAGTTTTATCTTCCCTTTTCAACTAATCCAGCTAAGATATTGGATGTCTTCAACTGACTATATAATGACTAGATGGGATTCGATAAATAGAAGCTCAAACTAGACAAGCTGGATGAACTTTTGACTCTCCTGATGGGAAGAAGGTTGTACTTCCCCTGAACTATCAGGCATGGAGTTTAAGACATTCCTTCACTCATAATCACAAGGGGCATAAATAGCTTAATTAAGATATTCATTTAAGAACCCCAGCTGATATAACAACTACATTAGAATAAAGTTAGTTTGGTTTGATTGTTGCAGAATATTGTATGTGAGATAAAACCACAGTTTTGGAAACGTTGGGTAGTTCAAGCCAGAGCTATTAACTAGGATTAGTCAACATGAATATATTTTGCTAACACTTTTGTCCATTTCAAGGTCCAGTGCCCACTTCTAAAGTAAAGATACTGCACTTTAAAGTGTAAATGAAGACTTGGCTATTTAAAGCAACATCTTCTCTCATATATATCTGTCTAGACTTACATCTTCTGTAGCTCTTCTCCTGATGCTCCCATCAGATGAACTCAGGCAGATGGCTACAAGAGAAGGGCCATTTTCATTTCCAGCAACCAAATTATGGAATGGCCTTCAGAAAAAGGTGTGTCTGGCATGCAAATATTTTTTTTCACTGTCATGCTAAGATATTTTCCTTTTCTCAGGAATTTTAGAGCTTTTTAAAAAGGGTTGCTGAAGTAGTAGATGAACCAAATTTCAAACTATATTTTATCATATAATCAGGCAGCATATTAAAATATTTTCAAATTGTCTTAAAATTTCTCATTGTAAATTCATAATTCATTTTTATTGGTAAGAAAGCAAAAGCTACTTAAAAAAAAAATCTATCTCCTTTCCCCAAAATTATTTAGAGAAATTGAAAATAAATGCTACCTGAAGCAGAAACTGAATGCAAGTCAAAGTGGTAATATTTTTTTAAAAATTTAACTTAACTTTAATTTAATAAATTTTCTATAGCTGCCCGCTCTGTTAGAATCTAGGTGATTTACAAAATCCAGAAAACAACTAAACACACATAAATAGGCAGCCCAGACAACCAAAACAATAAACCATACAAATATGACTTGGGCTCCAGAAGTGCATCAATGAACACATTAACCCCAGGCCTGGAAACAGAGCCAGGTCTTAAGTGCTTTTCAGAACCCCAGGAGAGTGGGCATCATTTGTATCTCTGGAGCAATGCTTTTCTAGAGGGCAGGGGCAGCAACGGAGAAGGCATGCTTCCTAGGCCCTGGAAGATGCCAACGTTTAATAGAAGGGACCTGGAGTGCACTTGCTCTGCCAGAACATACCAGGCAGGCAGAAACAATTGGAGATTGGCGATCCCACAGATAACCAGACCCTATGTCATGAAGGGATTAATAGATGAAGGCCTTGAATTGCACCTAGAAGCCCACAGGCAACCAGTGCACTTCGCATAACAGCAGTGACACATGGGCTTAACATGAAGTGCCTCTTACTGCTTGTGCTGCTGCATTTTATAGCTGTAGCTTCCAGATGATATTCAAGGGCAGCCCAATGTAGAGGACATTGCAATAGTCCAATCAAAAGGTGACCAGGGTGTTAGTGACCATCTGAAGGACCTCCCAGTTGAGAAGGACAACTGGCACACAAGATGAACCTGTGCAAAGCCCTCCTAGCCACAGCTGTGAATCCAGGAGGTCCCTCAAGTTGTGCACCAGTCTTGAATGGGGAAGTACAACCCCATCCAAGACCAATGATGAAAACATCCCTAAATTGGGGGGGGGGGGGGGG